GGACAACAGGGTGTGTGGGTATTTATGTGTCAGAGGGGCTTCCTAGATAAACAGGAGATAATGGGGAAGCTCTCTAGGTAACCCGTTCTGAAATTTGAAGCATCACAGTAGGAGAGAAAATAAGACTGAAAAATAATGTTGTCATAAATAAAAAAAAAAAAAAGACATGTGTGCTCAGATTATAAACAAAAAAAAGATTTCATAAAGGCATTGTAAAGAGAGGATGGCCTGATCTAGGGGTTTAGCCACTAATCCTCCTTTCTTTTATTCCGTCTGTATTCTTACATTTTCCACTGATTTTTAAAGGCTGCAACTTTTCTATGAGGTAACAATATGTAACCATTCATCTATCAATGTTCTCCCGCTCATTCTGTCAGGGTCACGGTGCCTATCTCTGCCAATCTATGGGTGAGAGGTGGGGTACACCCTGGACATATCGCCAGTCTGTCGCAGGGCAACACAGAGACATACAGCAATGCATGAAAGAATACACCTAAGGATAATCTAGAAGAGCTCAACTTTACACAATTGACCTAACAGTCATGTTTTTGGACTGTGTGAGGAAGCCGGAGTACCAGGAGAACACGGGAAGAGCATGGAAACTGGAAAGACTCCAAGCCGGGAATCGAACCTAGAACTTTCTTACTGCAAGGCAACAGTGCTACAAACTGCAGCACTGTTCATCCCCAGTATGTAACCGATGCTCTATATTACACAGGCTTCACCCTTTATAGTGCAAGTTACTGTTTTTGATCAGTTGCATTATCCCTTACAAACAGAGTGGACTCAGCAAGGATGCTTCTACATGGTAGTTAACGTCATTTTGGCCAATTAGATGAGCCATTGGATGATATGTTACATACTGTTAATTAAGTTAGAAAAAAGTTAACAAGTTTGGTTAAAAAGTTAAAAGCTAATTAAGTTGGTAAGTTAAAAAGTAAAACATGTAACAAAGTGTTCCTTTCATCTCTGAGAGTTCTTCACGAATTTCTAATTAAAGCGTATTCGTTATTTTAAGATATTAGGGCAAGTGACCGTTTGTTTTTATTACATTGATCTTGATCTTTACTATAAAATATAAACATTTTTAAATGCTACAAAGGTAATAAAGTCTTGTCCTGTCCTCCAATAGCACTCTTAGCTTGAAATTTTGAATTTCAAAGTATTTCACTGAGGACCCTATAAAGGGTTAAGCCTAACATGAGTGGGTTAAAGGCAGACAAGTAGGTTTTCTAAGGAATATGCTTCACTGGCTCCGTCATGGCCACAAACACAAAGCATCTGCTCACACAGAACAACTTTAGAGCCAGTATTCAGCATAATAACACACTGAGAAATGGGTAAAATAACCTCTGGTCATAACAGAGGTTGTGATCGAAAAATACACTGCTTTGAATAACACGGAGATAAAGCATAGATTGTGACAGTATAGAAAAGCAGGAAGATAGAAACAAAAGGTCTAACATCAGTAGCTGGATCAATCGATGATGATCTGGAATACGGAAAAATGTATTATAACAGTTTCAATCATTACTTTGGAGCTATGCATATGGGGATAACTTCAAAGTTACTTGGTGATTAAGTAGTTAGTAGCCAATATTAGTGAATCTATATAGTGTTATATTTAGATCATAAATATTTTAAGGCCTATTTATGAACAAACAAGTAGATTAGTTGTAATGGAGAGGAGTTTCATTGTATATTAATTGATGTAAATCTAATTTGTCATACTGGGTCAACAGTTTACTGTAATACTTATGTAATTAAAGTTAAAAACACAGATGCTTTTAAATGTTTTTTCAAAAAGGTTATACTGACAAATCAAGCATTTTCCCATTTTCTTTTATTTAATTTTAAATGGAAATCTAGTAGAAGCCCACCATACATTAAAAAATATATTTTTTTTGATTGTGTGCAGCCTGGCCGCCTTAAAATATGATGTAAAGGATAAACAGCATTACTTTCAGATGTTAAAACATTGACCTTTGTAGGCCGCCGCGGCTTACAGCCAGAAGTTCCTCTGCTGTGGTTGAGGATCTAAGTTCATTAAGTCAATTGGCCTTGGCAATATTTCCCTTAGTTATTTCAAAGATGTTCACACTATCAGAGAAGCTCCTTTCTTTTTTTGCCTGCATATTCTCCCCATAGCCATCATATCTGCCATGAGCGCACTGATAAACAAAATGCTAACATGCAAGTAAAGAGTGCAATTCTTCATTGCTGCTAGAAAATTGTAAAATCATAACTGGCTTGACATTAATAACTGTACACAAGACCAAAAAAGCATTCGATCAAATGATACCTCTGCTAATGCTTGATAATTTTGTCAAAATAAATTTAAAAAATGACTATATACACAATCTGAGCATGAAAGCTTATGAGAACTCACAAATTTGTGCTTGCATATGGCAAAAATGACAAGCAAACTACAAATTGTAGTTTGCTTGTAGTGAATTCACAGTGATGACAACAGGATTAGTTTCAGAAATGTGTAAAGCCATGGAGATGAGGTAGGAATATTAGGGAACAAACAGTGTGAATTATACATAAATATAGCAAACTACAAATTATATTGAAGTATAATATTTCTCCTCTACTCAGCTGGGCATTAAGTGTCTGAATCCAGTTGCATGCATAATCCTTGAAGTTTTTCCCATGAGATAAAAAAATACAGACAAAGAGTCTCCAAGGGGGGTCTCACTTAACTTGGACCAATGTGGCCCCACAGTAGCCAAATGTGACCAGTTCTCATATTGGCAGGAGGAAAATAACAGGAAGCTGCTAGTTGCATGAGAGCCAAGGAGGATGGGCATAATAAACTGAATCAGCTCAAGAGAAAAAAAATCGACTTTGTTATTGCTTGAATAATTACTTCAATATAGTTATTTTTTACCGAATTAAAATGAAATTATAAGAATTACAGGAAGCTGCCTTTTTATCAAAAACATATATTTTTTAAATAGAAATTAACAGCTGTACCTGCAAAATATTCAGTATAGAGTTAAAGGAAACAGATGATGTGTAATGTCTACTAAACTAGCTTTAAGGTTTTTTCGGCTATTCCATGTCAAATTTTCTTCACCATGCCCTTTAATAACTCGTTACATTGATAATGTCTCTAAATACACATATAAAGTAAATACATGCAGTAAATTAGTATGACCTCAATCAATATAAAAGTTTAATGAATTATATTAAATAGGTTGTTTTTGTACTGGTCGTTCTGTCTTTCAACGCAATGGTTTGACTTCTTTCGAAGGTTTTGTGTGTAAGTTTATAGTCATCATATGTATTCACATTAAAAAATTTCCCTTTTGCTTATTACATTCTAACAGGTTTTACCAGATTATGTTATTTTGCATTTCTGGTTTTGCCAGGTCAGCTTGTTTCTCTGTGCTGATATAAGTGGGTGTTTTCCATATCAGTACAATATTTTACATTTAACTTTCTAGGGTGTATTCACTCCAGAAAAGTCCTTTGTTCTGGACCAAAAGCGGACCCTGGTATTTGGGTTTGGATCAGTTGGTGTTCAAATTTTACTGTTTGCAAGTGTACAAAAACTCACAACAAAGTCTTACGTTGCTGACATTGTAGAGTTGTTCAATTGGTTAGGGATGGTCATTAAAGGCATTAAAAAAAATCTACTGAATGTATAATTACTGTCTTGTCAAATCCTAAGAAATTATGAACCATTTGCATCATCTAAATAAGTGTTCCTCCTAATTGTCAATCATTCTGATATGTTTACGTAAGGCCGTACTACATGCTCGTCCCTAAGTAGCTATCTTTTTCTGCACATGCGCACTTTCAGGTCTATATATGTGTGTTGAGCTACGGTTTCAGCCCAGTCATGGAAGCTCACCTTTCCTACTGGGGTCTGTAACCCCACAGATGAATGTATCAATGAAACAAGGTGGAAATAATTCACACGGATTATTGTAAACACTTAAATGTGCTTAACAGGGTCCAGTTTAGTAAAACCCACATAATCACAAGGGTTAAAAAGTAGATCAGTGCATCCCCAGTGCATGTAAAAAAAAAAAGCGAAAGACAGCTGGGTGCAGGGTTCTAAAGGGACACAAATATAACAAACAATCTGTACATATAGATTTGGAAATGTATTCCTGAATTATATGTTTTTTTTTACTTTAAATGGTTAATATTAGTGAAAAACGGAAGAGGCATCAATGCCTCAGTCGGGTTATTGAAGATCCCCAAAAAAATTCCACTAAAGTATAGGAAATATCTAAACAAAATGATAAAACCAAAACATGACAATTTTTCCCATATTAGAGCTTATAAATAATTGGACTTCTTTCCCGGAGTCTTGGCTTTTTCTTCTAAATCAATTAGCCTACAGCTATTAACCACCAATTGCCCCACAGCTGTTTAACATAATTTAGTATGAATTAACTCTCTCCCTGAAGCCCCTTTTGGGAACAAAATAGTTCTATGAAATGATCCATAAACCTGAAATATCACAGCCAGCAATAAGCAAAATGTCCTTGTTTTAATATGATCGGCCAATAGAACAAACTGAAGATGTCATTAATAATACTGCCTTTTATTTGTTTTGGCTACCAAACATATTTATCTGACTCTCCACATCACTCACCAACACATTTATTTCTGCCTCAGCTAAATTGCACTTTTTTCACTCTCTTGGCTATGGTTGCTGTGGTAACCACTAAATAACATTGATGAGCTGGCTCATTGAAAGACATTCATGCGGTGCTTTCGATGGTCCATTTATGGTTGAATGTGACTGAAGAGGATCATTAGGTAAAGTTTTGATGTACGACTGTGATCTAAAAAGGAAAATTTATACTTATATATTTTGGAATATATTTTTTTTGTTAGGCGTTCTTCATTTTCAGGTGTTTTCAGGTTTGACATACATACACTTGTGGTATGATTCTACGCAATGTTATAAATGAGACTCCAAATCTTAGAGAAGACCAAAGGATATAAAGAAAGTGTATTTCTGCCTGAGAACTCACCGCTGTAGAAACGAATCATGCAGCTGAGGTCCGAGTTGGCCGCTTCATGCTGCACTCGCACTGGGTCGGTATAACCCATTGTCGTCAGGTAGTCATAAACCATCTGGAGGGGACGCTCAAGGGGGTCCAGCCTCCTGTAGGACAAATAATGCAGCAGTGTTTGTGGAGTCACAACAATAGAAACAACATCTAAAGGAGAAACTGACTACATATTTTAAAAACAAAACTCACTCAACGGTCTCCCTGGACTTTATTAAAAATAATAGTAATGAAACTTTATTGATCTCACAATGCAGATATTCCCTTCTGCATCTTAACCCATCTCCGTGGGGAGCAGTAGGCAGCCAGTGTGCGGTGCAATCAGGGGGTTAAGGGTCTTGCTCGGGGACCCAGAGTGTAGGCTGTGGGGATCGAACCGGGTACTTGCAATCTTTTAAGAGGTTCTCTTATCCATGACTGTGGAGTTACCAATACTTATTCAGAGAGATTGTTTTTGCCAAGGTGAAAGCTGTAATGGAGCGATACCGCAGGTCAATCATCCCTGCTGTAAGCAGATTATACAATGCGACACTAAAACGGCAGTAACTTGTGAAATGTATAACGTGCAATTACTATTTGATACCCTGTGCAATGTCCTCTTTCTCTATATTTGTCACCCAGTGCAATAACTATATATATATATATATATAAAAATCCATCTATATAAATACCCATGTAAACACCCTGTGCAATAACCCTGTATAATGATCCTACTATAAAATAAATGTGGACACACTCTATATACTGTATATATCCCATGCACCTTTCTTCTCCTTTGACTATCTGAGCTAATGTAACGAGTACATTTTTTCCACAGTGAGATAACTGATTGACTCAATAAAGTCAATCAATCAATCAATCAATAATGGGTGTGAGAGTAACATAACCACTGTTGACTTGGAACCCTGGAGTTAACTTAAAAAATTTGACTTTATTGTTCAATTAATTAGTTTTAATAAGAGCAACCCCTTTGTATTATCACACGAGATTGTATTAGTTTGCTTCAATGGATACATACATTTACTGCACCTTTGCAATATTTAACCCTAAAAAACAATGGCTGCTGCTTTTTATTGAAATTTTATAATGGTGAACCAACTCAAAGTATTGCATGATTCTAAATTTAAAGTAAAATATATATACTTTTCTCCAGCTAAAAAAACATGCTTAACATAGTATATCAAGTCAATACATTAGTAGAAGAATCTGTTCCAACCAAACAGCCATGTGTCTCTGCGGGGGTATGTCTTTACATATTTAACACATCTGTAGACTCAATTTCTCAACCATCAACTTTTTGCAATGTGGCAATACTGTGTGCAGGGTTTTACAGGCTTTATATGAGGACAATGACACCTGATAAAAGCAACATTCTCCATGTTCACTGTGCCCCCAAATGCCTTGGGGCAAACTTCAAACAAATTTACTCATGCCTTTTTACTATACCAACAAAAGTTCCATAAAAGTTTAAAAACAATCCACTGGACTTGGTTTCCAAGGTTTGAATGTCTTCAAACCTTGGAAACCGAATCCAGTGGATTGTTTTTAAACTTTTGCGGAATAACTATGACCTGGATGACTGAGAATCTTCATCAGCATACCTACCTACAAAAATGTTCTTCATTGAACTCATCCATAGTCAGATTTCTAGATTATATAACTAACAGAAATACTGTTCATAGATATTGCCAAAAGAACTTCTCTAATCAAAGCTCTCTTTTTCCTTTCTGTCAGTTTAAGTAGAAGACCATGTCTGTGAATGTGTGCAGTTATGCCACAGTCCTCCCATGTTCAGATGATGGATTAAACAGAGTTTGACACAAGTGTTTCAAGGGTTAAGGCTCAGTTTATATGTAGGTTAAAGAAAGGTATGTCAGCATTTTCGTTATGTCCGTAAAGTAAGTTTTTCCGAGTTGTTGATTTTTTTCCCCAGGTCTATAAATGTTTGCCTTATCAGCAGCGAGCTCATAAATGCATAAAAAAGTTTTTTTTTTTTTATTCATGACTGGATGAGCTGCGAGAGCCAAGTGAGTTTATATTAAAGGTAAAAGGTAAAGTGATTTAAAAGGCCCATGAAATCAACCTGCATACTCATCTTCAGGGAAACCACATGTCTGGGAGTCTCCCATTGGCAGGTTCCTAAGAATGGCTTCAGCTGGGAGGAAACTCCAGGAATACCCGCATCATGTTGTAAGGATTACCATGCCCTGTCTGTCCTGAAAAAGTAATTAATGGATCCCTGAGGACGAGCCTGCTGCTGGGAAAACCGAACATCGGACAGACTTGATAACACTGTTGGAATGTGATACTATCCAGGACAGGGATACTCAACCCAAAAATGGAAAGTATGAGTCCACACTATTGGCACACTATCTTAAAAACTCACAAAAGGTTTGTAAGGAAAATAAAATATGTTCTCATCTAAATATTACTAATTGAACAATGAACATTTAAAAATGAATGGGTCCAAGTTTCAAATACTTGACCAAAATGCTTCCATCTATCAGTCTCAATATATTAGTACATTGCTTTGTGCAATATCAAAGATTTTAGACCTACATAATTGTTACGAGCTTTAAGCCACATTCTTAACTTCATATCTACAAAATGTCCTCAGTCAATAACTCTTCCCTACACACCCAAGCTCATTTCATATCTATAAACATATTATATAGCACCCTTATTGACTCGTCTGCTATAAAAAAGCTTTAGCAGCATAAAGCAACGTTTTATGCTGATAGCATAACTTTACACAGAGAATTCTAGAAAAGTTCAACCCTTCATTGCTGTGAATTTGTTCTCTGAGTGGAAAAAAAAATGCAGCATCAAGAAATACTTAACTCTACAGAGCAATGATTATTAGGTTTGGAATAACTAAAACGTATGTGACATACAAGGTCTGATGTGGACCAACGTATAGTATCTCACCACAGAGCGAGAGGTGAGTGGTAACAAAGGTCAAATAAAAAAATTCTAATTCAAGTGTGAGAAAAACAGATAATAGCGTTGATTTGGTCAAGTTTTCATGACAACAATTAGACTATGACAAGTATTACATTTTTTGATTTTCAAAAGAAAACGCTGCTGGGACTTTCTATGGAACTGAGCATTTTATAAGACAATGATTTATCTTTTTCTTTTTAAAACAATTCCAGGTGGTGAATATATAGAGAACTACATGATGTATGAAGCTGTGGGCCCGTTTTTCTCTGCATCTACTATGGAGCTCTTACTATAGTGGATAGTATGGTGAACTTGGTAAACTATCATGACATTTCAAATAAAAGACTGGTGGCCTCTGCTACATAAGTGAAAAAATTTTATCACTGGGTCTTTTAGCAAGAAAATAACTCTTGTATTTATTTTGAAGTGTGATTTTGTACCTTAAGACCCTCTCCACAGCAAAAAACTGAAATCTAAATGAGCCATTTTTTCTTATTTAAGTGCATTTTTTTTGTGAAATGAGGAGGTAAGTGAGACACTTTGCCAAATGAACTAGACAATTCACATCTAAAATAAGAAAAAAATATTGTATTGACTATTGCAAGTGCATATTATCTAATTATCTTATTTTAAGAGTAAAAATACTCATTCTATTGGTAAATTAACTTATTTACCTGCTCAAATTAAGGGTAAATTTTAAGAAATTTTTATCTATTTCAAGATTGTTTTTGCAGTGTAAACCTTAACCCCTAGTGGCTGACTTGGACACTGCAACTGTTCTTGCAAGTAGGCCAATGCACTACTTACTGGTTAAAACGAGAAATGAATGACAGATTGCTGCAAGTAGTGCTGATTTATTCACTAGCATACTGGATGAATGAACTGAGATAATACTGACATAATTTAGGATAGATAGAACCCAGATTTTACCCAAGAGGTAGTTTTAAGGTATATTTTCGAGTAAAATGACTCAGGGTTCATTTAAGTTACGTATATATTTTCGACTGCGTAACCTAGAAGTAGACCTCTTGGATAATTGATCATTTTCAGACCCAAATGTTGTATTGAGAGTCTAATTTTTATCCATTTTTAATCTGAGCTGATTTTCCTCTGGTTTCCAGACCTTCAAAATAAGATATGCAAAGAGCAATAATAAAGTCTTGGAAAGTTGATCTGGTCTTTAATACTTATTTCAACTGTAAAGGAACAATAAAAGCCTTTAGGACGTATTTAGTGGGGATGCAAACAAATATAGAGGATGCAGCATAACAATATTTTAGTAGTTACTCAAAAATGACTGACCATAAGATTTTGATTTTAGCTCATGGGTGAACTGAGCAAGCTGTTGCACCTCACACAAGATAAGGTACTGAGATTTAAACTAAAACTGAGTGCATGTTTTCTAATATATCACATTTCCACTTTGGTTGTTCAAAGAAAGAGCGAAAGAACAAATTCCTTCCTGGTTATGGATCAGTGAACCAGACAGTCAGAGGGTCATTTGCTGCTTCTAGTCTGCCTGCTGTGTAGCTGAACGGAGTGTTATGTACCTGAAGGGTAAAATAGATAAGGTGTTGTGTGGGAGTATAAGATCAAAAGACATGGGCAGTTCTCTACTCTTTGCATTCATTTAGGCTTGTGTGACATTCTGCTAATTTAACCAATAATTCAACTGCCTTGCCTAGACATTAATGCATTATTATACATAGCAGCTGTGTCTCAAATGGAAGAGATGCATTTCCCTGAGAGGCACTGCAATGCATCTCACATTTCACTTACAGTTTTGTTGCACAGATGAGACACAAGGCTTTTTTTATCCATCAAAATATTTTTGTTTCTCTAATATTATAAAAGATTTCCTGTTAAGCTCCGATTGAATTTCAAGAGTGAGGAAGGATTTTGTGTGCAGTAGATCCACTAAAGACTTTTCTACTTCTGGTTCTTTATTCTGTCAGTTATGGATATTGTTTATTGTGAGTTATCTGGACATTTCTAGGAAGAACCCCCACCCTAAATTATAGGCTTGATTATTTCCTGTATTTACGTTCATCACTTTATGTACCGTACAGTGCATTCACCTGACAAGGTCTCCGTGCAGCTGAACATAGAGTCCCTGTCCGTTTCTTTGAGCGCAGAGTTCTTCCACGGTGGTGCTGGTGGAGCAGAGCACCAACTGCAGGTCTGTCTGAGGAGTGGAGGAGGCCTGTGTGCCGGAGGCAGGTGGCTGGGGGTCTACAGTACCGCCATAAAGACACACACAGCCTCGTTGGGTGTCCCCCTTTAGCCAGTCTCTCTCTCGTGAACCAAATCTGTTTTTTCTCGTCACGCAGCTTCGGCTCCCATTACGCTTCATATTGCGCTGCAGAAAGATAGAGGTGTTTTCAAATCACATCACACAAAAGTATGAAGGTGGTTCAAAATGTACAACTACAAACAAAACTTAACTTTAGGTTATTTATTTAGTAAATATATTTTGTGATGAAAACATTAAACATATTACAATTGCTTTTAATCATGGAGTTGTTAGACTTTTTTTTCGAGATATAGATGACCAAGCAGTTGTAATAATAGGCAATAGGCTGCTTAGATAATAAAATTCCTATAACAAGAACTAATATTTAACCTTATTATGGTTTGTAACATATTCTTATCATATATAGCAAATTATTTGTGTCACTTTGATTATGTTTCCAGGCTTTACAAGTTAAACATCTTCTGCCTATATTTTAAAGAAAAAATAAAAAAAAAAATGATGAGAACAGAATCAGACAGGTTAATTTGAAAGGTTGGTCAGATTAGTCCGATTTTTATGTTTTATTTTTTGGGCCTGCACTGAATAAATTTTAGATGAATTAATTAAAATGATATAGAAATAACTTCTGCTTTATTAAAACTACTTCATTCCACACACTGATCCAATAGTTTGTGGAAATACTAACTAATTACTTATATGTTTTTTTTATTAGGCATTATTAAAAATTTCTGACATGGAGCCACATTCACATTAGATCAATGCTTTCTAGTTTCATATAACTGCATTAAATGGTAATGAATATGAACATAGAATTTTGTTCATAGTCATTCTTCTTTTTCCATAACAATTCAACACAAAACTGAGAGCAGTTTTAAAAGCTCAAAAATATGGTTGTTGCATTAACCATTGAAAAAATATGTTAAAGTTGTCCAAATGATAGAAATCATCTTGTGTTGTTATCAGCTGAGACACTAACCTCTGTTTTATCCATGAAAAGAAGCTAAGAGAGCTACATATTGGAAGCAGCAGTCATTTCTTTTTACTTTCAAAAACTGGGCTCCTTGCCCAGAGTGCCTTTTCATGAAGGGGAATCAAAGACACACAAAAAAATGAAAACTAGAAAAGAAAATGTTCCATTCCAGACATCTTTGGATGCAAGTCAGCAGAAGTTGGTTCATCCTAATATGAACATTGCAAGAAACTATGACTGTGCACTATGGATGGTTGAGGGTTAAAGTTCAGACAGCCTACATGTTTGTGTGCAGACTGTAATAATGCCTATTAAAAAAACATATGACAACATATATTTTTTTGCTTATTATAGTTAACATTTCCATTTGATGTATTGCATTTTAACAGAAAGCATTGAATAAAATAACACAGCTATTCACCAGACATTTTCTATTTGATTTCTGTGCTTTAAAATCATCTGGAAACTGGAAAGGCCTTCATGTAAAACACCCAAACACTGTGAGGTTTGTTGGTATTAATTGGTTTTGTTGATCTCCTCCAACCAGCACTAATAATGACCGGTGTTACATAACGCTGCAAACATGCATTTAAAATCCTGCACTTTGCCCTGTTTCACTGATCCTCCAATCATTCAGCCTGAATAACCCCCACTGTAAACCCTCCCGTTATGACCTGCCTTCAGCACTCGGATCCCCGTCACAGAGTGAGCTCCGGGACCGCTGCGGGTCCGACTCAGCCCCGCCTGATGGACCACCGTGTCCGGCTGCCTGTCAATACAAGCCCCGTTATCTCCTGCTTTCTTGGTGTCGGTCGCAGGGAGCGCTGCGCTGCTATCCTCCTCCTCCGTCGCCATGTATGCTCTGCTTATTAGCAGCCTCAGAAGGCAGGAGCGTCCCCGGAACACGGCTGGTAAATTCCCACAGAGAGAGAAATCATCGTGCGTCGGTGCTGCGCCGCCATATCCAGACTGATGTGAGCGCTGTCAGCCAGGCCTGATCAATAAACATCAGATGGGCGGGTTCACGCGCTGCTTTAACTCTCACTGCTCCTGTCTGAGGGAGAGGCTTCCACTGTCACATAATGGCTTTCACCAATTATAATTACAGAAACATTAAGCCCGCATTAAACGTAAACTATTTATAAATATTATATTCAAATTTCTTATTAAGGCAAAAATTTAATTTGATCTAATTTGTCAGAAAACCATGTCAATACTTTCACCACATAGACCATAGTTTTTATATAACCAAAACCTAATAAATTATATTTGTAAAACCATTTTTTGTGACAAAATAATTATTTAAAACTACAGTGGGTCTCAGATATCAAAACCAGCACAAATGCAGTCCTACCCAGGGGCGGAGCTAAATGGGGGGCCAGGGGTGGCCCTTGCCACCCTTAGCCAATCATTGGCCACACCCAATGGCGGAACGACACAACAATAAGCAACATTATCTGGGACCCAATCCCCCCCTACACCCACCCCCACTGCCGCCGCAGACCTCAAATGTGGTGACAGTGGCGTCGGATGTAGTAGTTTGCCCCTGAAATAGAAGGATTAACGGTTCAAGCCCCGGCTCCGGCTTTCAGTGTCATTGTGCCCTTCAGCAAGACACTTCACCTGCATTGTCTACTGGTGGTGGTCAGAGCGACCGGTGTACGGCAGCCCCGCTTCTGACATTGAGCCCCAGGGCAGCTGTGGCTACAATGTAGCTTGCCACCGTCAGTGTGTGAGTGTGTGTGTGAATGGGTGAATGACTGAATGTAGTGTAAAGTGCTTTGGTCGAGTCTCCTGACTTGAAAAAAAGTGCTATATAAATACATGCCATTTACCAAATTTACCCATACATACACACTTAATCATTTCATCATTATTTCTTACCTGAAATGGATATACTGCTGTAAATATTCTGCTGTAAGATGAATCTTATCGGGCTGCCTTGAGTTTCACAGCCCCCCTCCTCACCCACGCTCTCTCTTCACTCACTGCAGCAGCAGCGTCCTCCTCTCCCTCTTTGGTTCTTTGAAAGAACCTGTTTGTTTTGGGAAGTTTTTTCCGTTCTTCCAGCTTCCATAATTCCAAGTTGTACTGTAAAAAATTAAATACTCAAATACATTGTTCTTTTAAGATCTTTATTGCGGTTTGAAACATATTATATGAGTGCATTTTTTTTTACTAACCGTCTAATGAACTATACACAGTTATTAACATAGTAATTAAAAGTACCACTTTCTGGTTTGCTATTGGTGTCGTGTTTAAATGACTCACCATCATGTTGAAATCTGCCATGAGTTGGAGTATAAATAAGGTCCGGTCAGTCAAAGCAGTATCAGTGGTGTTCAAGAGGAATTTTTCACACCATTCCATCTGTCCTAGTCCACAATTGCGTAGGGGGCCAACCAGGTATCAGTGATGGGGCCCCTAAGAGGTCGGGGTCCCTAAGGAACTGTAGTCTCTGCTTACCGATAGTTACGCCATTGGCCTCCCCTACCATTTTTTTTTTCCTCTAATACAGACAGTGGCAGCGGTAATACTCTCAAGTGGAATATTCAAAACATTTAATAACATTAAAGATAAATACAGAATCTATGCTCTTTCCATAACTAGATTTTGTTTTATGGGGTAAAGAGAAAATGATGTGTGTCTGCAAGTCATCTAGGAGTCTTCAGTAAAAACATAGATAAATAACTATTTTAATAAAAACTTCTTAAATAATCAATTTATGTAGACATTAGTAATTGTAAATATAAATTTTATCCAGAATGTAAAGACAATGGAAAAGATGTTCGCCCCAGAACTCAAACCGGGATTTTATCCACTATACCCTTAGATCTAGAAAGCACAAATGTTTAAATATATGCATCTATTTGCTAGCAAAGGCTGTGGGAAAGTATAGTTTGTCTTTATTTAGAAAATATGGATGTTTTGCTCACTAATTTTCCTGTTGGAACATTGTAGATTGACCATGAGGTTCTGGTGCCTACCCTCAGTGTACACTGGTTATTGCCTGACCGCCCTAGTAAACATTTTCTGGCTACGCCTCTGGTGCTACCTGCCATCTTGTTAAAGTGACCAGTCCATACATTAGATTGTGGATGTATTTATAAATGTACTAATACACCCTGTTTGTAAGAAGAAGCGCTACTGCAGGTCATTTATCCTCATTTATCATCAGACTTTACAATGCAGCACTATAACTTGTGCATTAACTACTTTGCTACTATTTAATAGCCTGTGCAATAACTTGTTTACATTTAATACCAGTGCAATAACTACATATATAAATACCTATATATACAGATACCTATTTAATACCCTGTGCAAAAACTACATGTATAAATACCTATTTAATGCCCTGTTCAATAACCCTGTGTAATAGACCCTGTTAAATAAGATACTTATATATATATATATATATATATATATATATATATGTGTGTGTGTGTGTGTGTGGACTTACTGTATATACTCCCATGCACCTTTTCCTCCTTTTGGCACCTTCTTTTTGACTATTGAGCCAATGTAACAAGTACATTTCTCCACTGTGAGATCAATAAAGTCTACCAATCAATCAATTTACTGCAGTTTTTATTTTTTTTAAAGCACACATATTTCTGACTTGCTTGCATTGCTTACCTTTCTTCTGCGGCTCACTTAAATACACATTAGTATATTTAAGGTATCTTGCATTTAGCAAAAAATAGGACAGAACCTTGTATTTAAGGTGTTGCTCTGATTTATTCCTCATTCTGGTCCTATGGGAGGTCTGTCTTCTGTTGCAGTCCACCTCAAACAAGGAAGATTTGATACATTTATGCAGTTTTTCTAAAGGCTGATAAAAGCTGCAATAAAATAAGTTTTAAGGGAGCATTCCCAGAGAAAAACAACAGGGAGGCAGTAAAATGATAAGTAACCTTCAGTTCACAATTTGTAATAAACAAGTATTAATCTGCAAATCCAGTTGTTTTGTATCAAAATTTTGTATGCCTAGGCATTTAGTAGGCCTTGGTCAGAATGAGCAAACACTGGAGATCTTTAATGCTGTGGATACAGTACAACCATTTACCTCATGACCCGCCCACATGTTCCCCTAAATGGACATTGCAAATGACTTCAGGAATGCTAATTTATATTCAAATGAGCCAGCTTATAGTTAATGATAGGCCAGGAAACGGAAAAAGAAAACAGCAGTTTAAGATACAGACTCGTTAGTGAGTGGAGTAAGCAAAAATATTTTCTTGGTTGCTATAGCAGTGGCATGACATAAGGAAATATTGTGAGTGGTTTATGAACTTATGTTAACAAAGTCATTCAAGACAGCTGCCAGTAGGCCCTATTGCGCTCAAAACCATCTTAGACCTATGGATAATTTAACAGGAAATTTAGTTCCAGAAAGTGTCTTTAAATATAGTTCCTTAACACCTTCTGGAAGCATTAAATTTTAATCCTGAACAAACAACAAGCCAAATGTTGGTTAGCAGAGCAGACACAGTACACATTTCCATATCTTTAACTTGATTTTTATTTCACTTTTTTTAAATTTGCTTGATCATCATCTCCAACCCAAAGACAAGAATACACAGCATAAATTGAAAATAATCCATTTAATAGTTTACAACTTTTCATCTTTAAAGATCATTTCATATTTTCAGTCTGACATTCTCTCCTTGAAGCCATAGAACTGGGAAAAAAAGAAAAGAAAAGCTGACTAGGAACCGTGAGGTTTCTCTCCTCCCCACCAACAAAAAGATAAGAAAATCTGACTTGCTTTGCTTTCTTTGTCTGGTCGCTTTTCAATGAAGAAGGGTGTTACAGGCCATGTTTTCAGAGTGAATGCAGTTTTTCTTTCCTATCTTTAAAAATAAACATATGGACCATAATGCTCATTTGGATGCTCTTCCAAGCCCTTTACAAAGCGATTTCATCCCAATGAAAGAAAGAACAAAAACACCCAAGGGATGCAGATAATGGCTTTGCATTTTCTTTGCACTTAAAACGAAGCAAAAACCGAAATGACAGTAACAAGTCCTAAGCTCACGATGAATGATTTCTAATTGCACATTCGTGCTGTCCCATAACAGGAGTTTTAAACTTTTCTTGCATTTGCAAAAAAAACGTTTCTTGTCCAAAGTAGAAACAACCTTATTTACAGTTCTTCACATGCAGCTCAGAAGCTGAGGGTCGAGATTGCAGCCAAAGAATTACGTCCTAGGCAGATAAAAGACAGATATCACACCATCACACTCTCTCAAAGATAATCTGATACACACACAAAACGCACACATATATACCTGACCACACCGACAGGTGGTCGTTTCCTTCCTCAGTTATAGTGTCAAAAGCATTAACGTTGGGCTCACTTCTATTTGTAAAATTTTAACAGCTTAATAGAAAAAAAAACTGATTTGATTAACGAGGGTACATAGTTTCAATAAGCTCACTCTCACACACACAAGAAAAAAAAACATTCAGAAATAGGTGTATAAGACCTCCTTTCTCATCCTGCCAGCATTTCATTTTGCCTCTTGAGATCACACGCTTCAGCTGGTTTGCCTCCATTAAACAGAAGCAGATTAAAGAAAACCATAAAAAAGGCTCTAAAAGAAGAATTGTATTACAAAACAGCTGAGCTTTCACGTAATTTTGGATCTTAAATGATCACTGAACCGTGCTGGTTGAAAATAAACTGTCTTGCCATGGGGTGACACACACAAAAAAAAGCAGGTATGGCAGTTAAAAGTGTCCTTTCTTACTCATGAAGAGAGAACACACCAAAACTAAAATCTAGCTAAAAACAATCCAAACAGTTAAAGAGGAGATCAATAGTGCATATAAGGCCAACCTAAACTGATGCATCTTGGAAAGAGAGCCACTCTGCAACAGGTAATGGAGCCATGACGCGTTTAAGGACCAGGAGAAGCAAAAGGCATGTTGCTGCTCCTCAGTAGTACGGTGCATCATTCAGAGGGAATGTGTTATATCCAGGTTATTAAGCCATCATCCACAGAAACCAAACCTCCCATCCATGATGCTAGGACATGACATCTAATGTCTCAAACATTACTATATATAAATCAAATGAAAGCTCCATCACATCCTTTGGAAGATTTCTCTTGTACATATATGCATACATACTTTCCAACTAATCTTTTATGTGGATTTTATTTAATCTGATCAGCGTTTTTGTTTTACAACTATATACAATGTACAGGCAGCAGATGATAAATCTTTTACAATGAGTGATGATACAGAGGAGTCTTATTAGACCAATGCCGACTAAACCTATTAAGACAATGTACATTGTGAGTAGTTGGAATTTGTTTAGAAAAATGATATCTAAAAAAAGAAAGTACAACAAACAATTGTAAAAGCCCTCAATATGTACAGAAAAAAAACAAGCCAATATAGCATTTATCAACTAATAGAAGAAAAGGTTCAACCGGAAAAGATTTCTCCATATACACATGAGCTCAAAAAAGATTTCCAAAGCTAATAGATTATCTCTGATTTGGTCACAGAAGTTAAAAGAGAGAAAGCTTAATAGGAGTTAACACAGCCAAGCTAAACATCGGCGGGCTTTAATGAAGCATAGCCAGGCTGTGAGTAGAGTTGGGTAAAGAGACATACGAACTGCTTAGTTTTCTTCATGCAGATGCTTTGGTGACTAAACAAAGCTGCTAAACGTTAACAGAAAGAGACGGTGAGGTATTAAGGTTACTATTCCCGATGACGGCGAGGTCAAGATTCTGACAAAAGTAAAGACAGCTCTAAAAAAACAGAAACTATAAGTCTCATTAGCTTTTTGTCTAATTCTATCTTTTGGTATTTGGAAGTTTGGGTAGGACTGGAAAAATATTTTAAGCCAGCTTATTTAAATTTACATACACTAGCTGCCATTACCTTTAATTTTGTAATCTAAATATTGTGGTCTCTAATTTCTATTAAAAAGCAGTCAAGGTGAAAGATAAACAAAAAATTACTAATATTCCACTATAATTTAGGAATTTGCAAAACTATCATGGACCAACATTGTGCAGATTAGTGGTATTTTAGTTGTCAATGAAGTGATAGACTGATTTAAATCTATAAAAACCCACAGAGTCATTGTGCAATCATTAATAAATGCAGCTCATTAACGACTCGGGGGCTTTTTTCCATCCTTTTTTTCCAGCTAAGTCAGAAAGGCACATCACTTACATATCAGGCATAAATTAAGTCAAATTTAACATACTCTCACAAAGAAACAAAAAAAGAACAAACAGTGTTGATAAGGTGAGCGTTCTAGACAAAGAAGGTGTGTGAAGACAAATTAGAGATGGAAAAAGGAAACTCATTCAGTGCAAGTTACTACATTCATCACCAACTTCATTAACATGGATAAGCATGGTGACAGAGTTTAACCAGGTTAAACAAATCAGAAATATAAATCAATTTGAGGTCTAGACTGACGAGACCGATGCAGGAAAAGTTTAAAACAGATCTTTTCAACACAAGTGCAATTTGTTTCCAGATAAGTTACAGAGCAATAATGTATTCACTGTAATACATCAAACTTGCCGTCTTATACAGATCTACAGATGAGGTGTTAATTAGGGAGGGGGGCAGCGGAGGGCGCTCTGAACCCAGCCAGTTAGATAAAAAGGTCTACAAACAATCAGAAAATCCTCTTGGAGCACAAGTCTAGATGTGACTGTGACCCCAGCACACATGCATATAGCAAATTAATGTAATTCAGAATGAATACAACTCTGAAGTTATACCGCTGACAGTGTGGAGGGAAAAAAAAGAGGTTTGTTATGACTCAAAGTTTTTCCTGCTGCCATTTTAGGACTGATGTTCTAAGTGGAAAACAAAATGAAAGCAAAGTGCCTCAAACTGCATTTTAGGTTTAAAAGAAATAGGGGCCAAAAGAGGGCGACCCATTTTTTCTCCTCCCCAACAGTCACTTCAGAGATAAAGTACACCAGTGGATTGTACAACATGAATCCTTCTGGGAGGGGTGATGGAGCTAGGAGGAAGAGGTGTGAGAAAAAAAAGACATCAGCACACGAAGTAGAGATCAATTAAGAGCGAAAAGAGAAAGTTTGATGATTGATATGTTTTCCCCAAATTACTCTTGTAATGCCGACAAGGGTCTTCGTAACATCTGCTCTGTTCTCCTGTGGTTGATGCTCTGCTGCTTCCCATGCAACTCTGTGGCAGCGGTGTGCAGTGACGTCACAGGGGGATCCGTTGGGGGAAAGGTAGAAGGTGAAAGGGTGAAGAGAAAAATCGTTTTCATAGTTCCCTAGGTGGGGGAGGGGTTTAAGGACAGCAGGAGCGGGTCATCACTGCCACGACTGTGGGGGGAAGTTATTAACCTCTGCCAGGTCCTGCACAGCGGAGCCTTTGTGGGTGTAGGTAAGTTTGATCCTCATTCGTAGTTGTTGCTGCAATTTGAAGGTCTTGTTGGTAAAAACTTCAATCTTTCTAAATATGCATGTATTTAAATAAACAATGAATCAAACCTCACCTTCTGTGGGTTGAGGACTCTGATGACCTGTGTTACAGTTCCCTGGTTGAGTGCTGGGACAACATTACTGCTGGGGGAAAGGAGCTGCAGCTGGAAGGTCTAATAGGAACACAGAGGACAACTTTAGATAACAATAAAAAAAATTCTCTTTTACAGTTTAAAATGCTCTTGTTCCAACTGATCAGTAATGGATGACAGGTTACTGTTCATGTCTTTTTTAAATAACGAGGTAGAGTTCAGACGAAGCATTCACTGCATGTTTCACAGGAGCCGTCCAATTTCTGTTAGAATATCGATGATTATAGAAAGATTAATATAAATGGTCTTTATTAGTAATACAGGCTTAGGGGGGCACATAACTGATGATCCTGACAACATAATTACTATACATTTTTTTTTTTTTCTGAACATTTTCACCAGTAGTTAAAATAATCTCCCTCCAATGTCCTGTGTTCACATGTCTGCTCAGTTTCATCTTACCTGTACTCACAGATAACAGTCTGCATGAGTAACAAATTAACCAGATTCAACATTATTTTTCCTTTTCAACTTTTCAAAGACAGAGGGTGTGAAATTTGAGTGCGCTTCAGGTTTGGACGCTTTGCAAATTTAATCAGTTTTAACTCTAAAGCACAGCTTGACACAGGACCTAATGAGTCCCAGAGGACTGTTGCTCTTTTTATTTTGTTAATAGATGGGTTAATGTGGAGCTAAATTTTGTCTGTTAAATTTTCAAGTGAATAACTATTTGGGGAAATGTTTTGTTTTTTGTGGCCCTCAATACATATAAATTTGGGATTTGAAAAATCTCTTTAAATAAATCAGCTTTTAGTTTTTAAAGTAATATAAAAAGTCAATCAGTGAGAGGCCTATATTGACTAAGAAACGGCTGTAGCTGCTTACCTTTGGAACTGCAGCCTGAAAAACAAAGTCAGTCATTTCTGCCTCTGTCGAGTTGGTGGCGTGGATAGTGATGACTGCGATGTTTGGGTTTGGGTTTGCTCTCTCAAATGTAAAATCTATTTTTAGACCATTTTTGTTGTATGCAGTCATGGAAGGGATACCTAAACAGAAGAATCAGGGGGAAAATTGTCATCTTCCAATAAAATTAGTTGTTGTAACAAAACTTTGCAAAAACGCTAAATCAATAAACAGATTTTAAATAAACTTTGACACATATAGCTGGAAGAAGGAACACTCTCCTACCTGCAGCTGCAATGTCATTAAACATGGGTTGTGAAGAGAGTCCGTCCAGAAGGAAAGGAGGCTGGGAAGCGGGCACTGAGGAAACAGGTGCTGGTGCTGGACCACCTGGGAAAGTGAGACATCAGGGTTTTTAAGGAGATGGATCCAAAAGAACCAAAATCAAAACTTGTTTTTTTTTAAATAACTGTCCAATTACAGTCTTAAAGGAAAGTAATTTTAGTCACTGGCTGAGTGAAGAAGTGAATACTCTCCTTGACTATTCTACAGAATAAACTAGAAACAGTGTTTTATCGCAAACATTCACAGATAAATTTGCAGATTTTCCTTTTGACAGATATAGACATTGCTTTAAAGGTAAGCCTTTTACCACTTAGTGAGAGGTCTCCAAGCAGGTCGAGCAGCTCTCCTCCAGCTGAGGCAGGCTTTGTGGGCATCGTAGTCTGGATTACCTGGACCATGTCATTACCACCCAACAAGTCTAACAAATCATTAGCCTGTAGAGAGAAGACAGCACAGTAACTTAGTAAAACAGCCAATCTTTTATCATGTTTACAGGCTGTGAAGTCAAAGTCTATAAGTGTTGATCTAGGAATTGTAGTTCTACACTACAGATAAATGGTCTTTAAAATTGTTCTCACTTGGTTTGTTGGTTGAGTAACAGGAGGTGGATGTTTTGGCTCCACTGAAGATGGCTCAGTCTCACCATTTGTCTGTACGATTTCTGTGGGACCATTAGAGGCTGTTTTCTCCATAATAGGCATACGTTCAAGAAGAGCTGGCCTATTAAAGTTTTAAAAAAACAACAACAGAAGAACAAAGATTGTTTTTTTTTTCCATCCCCACACAAATTCTGAAAAATAATAATCTAGTACTTAAACATACACATTTAAGAAAACAAATAAGGGAACAAGCAAATCCTGGGATGTTTACCTCATATGATCGTATTTCTTGAAAAGTGCATTGTACTCCACGGCTCTCTGCTGAAGCTCCACGTCAATGCTACTCCCATATATTGAAACCACCTTTTTGATTCGGCTGAAAACAAAATAAACAGGGTATTAAACACAGCTCGTAAAGAATTAATTGGACACAGCTATACACACTGAAAAAACGATTTATTAATAAGTAAAAATTTAGTGAATTTACCCTTAATTTGAGTAGGTAAATTAGATAGTTTGCCAAAGGAATTGGTATTTTTACTCTTAAAATAAGATAATTAGATAAAATGCAATTGTGTTTTCTTATTTTAAATGTAAATTGTCTTGTTCCATTGGCAAAATGTTTCTTTTTCCTCCTCAATCCATGAACAAATGCACTTATTTAAAGAAAAAAAGACTTCTCTAGATTTTGATTTTTTTCCAGTGCAGAAAGAGCTCACAGTGATAAAAGATCAATAAAAAAACAAAACATGGTTCATTATTAAGCAATCATATATTAGTCTTATTTTTTTTAGTGAAAGAGTAATATAAATACCTAAAATGTATTAGGACAACTATCTAAATATGATTAACATTATTAATCAACAGTGTAAAATTAAAGGAGCTAGCATAAACACCACTGAGGATGAGATCAAGTCATTTGTTGGCATCAAGCTAATCATGGGAGTAGTGAGTGCCATTCATGGAGTATTATTGAGCAGAGGAGACATGTTAGGCCAAGATAGCTAAAGTGAGCTCACTTAGAAAGGTTTAAATGCCTATAATGATTCATCCACTATCAAGACAATCAAACATCATACCCAACCCAAGATCAGGCTCTGATGCAATCTAACTGCTCACACTCTACGACCAAAAACCACATGTCGAACTTAGCCAAGTAAAGAGATGGCAGGGGTTGGACTATTCTATCCAAAAGTAAAGTCAGAGAAGAAGAAGAATTCCCTTTTTTGCACACAGGTTGAGCTAAATCAGCCCACAGACCCTTGTAACTCTACTTCAACAGCAGGATAAACTCACAGTCACCTCATAGGGAAAAATTGATTTTTCAAACATGTTAGATTTTTCATCTGACTGTAAGATTGTCAATGTGGAAATATTAGGGTCAAAAGAGATGAGAGATAACATTAAATTATTTTTTCTGACTTATTTTCCACTCCTGCCTGTAGCTCCATAAATTAAATCATACTTCTGTGGTAGTGGTTACTGCAAAACCATTGTGCGGAATCCACAAAAACACTCATTAAAAGTTGAACTGCAAATGTCTTCACCCATTCAGCTGTTCTCAATAATATTTTTAAAAAATAATTCATGAGAAATAGAGAAACATAGTCCCCTACCTCTGTGTAACCCTCAATTATTTAGGCAATCAAATTAGTCTATTATGAAATTTTTGAAGTTATGTGTAATCCTCAGATATAGAGGCTGACTTTATTTATAAACACTGCTGAAGGAAAAAGGTTGAAATCAAAAATCAAATGGCGATTAACAAGGGAGGAAAATATTCACTCACTTGACACTGCTGAAACGAGTAGATAGCTTCATGATAGCAGTGAGGGAATAACCCCGGGTTACAGGCGTGGACAGATTGGACACCAGAAGACCTTCCAACACATCCAGAACTTCGTCCTCAGTCACCTTCATTTATTAGAAAGAGGAGAACGTCACTGTTGGCCAGTTTCCTTTTTCACTAAGGTTTGTTTTTAATACTGAATATTTACCTGGATGGGTTCCTCCTCCTCACACTGTCCTGATACCAGAAGGTCTCCATACTCTCCTATGCACCATGATGCAACCTGAACAAGAGGTTGCTGGAAGACAGAACATGAAGGAAATTTTCACCTGGTTCTTCCAAGTGGTTTGTAGTACATACAGACTTTAATATCATAGTCATAGATTAATCCAGAGCAACACTGACCTGTGAAATGTCGTCCAGCAGGGCTTTGTAAAGTCTCTGCACTGTATAGGCGTGCATCTCCACGCTGTTTGTGATTAGCTGAATTAGGTTGGGGACAGAGTCATCTCGCACATAGCTTCCAGCCTAAGAAACACAAGAAGAGAAATTTAAACTACACTGTTTGTACTATTATGGTCATTGCTTCCAAGTACTGAAGGGTTTCTGTAGCATACATACTGTTGTCAGTACTCTCATAATGGTATCTATGTGCCATCTTTTTGAAGGAGCATATCTGTTGAAACAAATGGAAAAAAATGCAAATATTTGTTGACCAAAGTTATGAAACACTGAGGACTGAGAAAGGGGATCAGTGCTGTCAGAAAACAAATGATATCAACATAGTCAGTCAGACGATGGATCACTCATTTTCTCATCACACAGCACAATCTCATGTGGGGTAGGGTATACCGACTACATTCTCGAATGCTTAAAACAAAAGACTGGAATGACATTATCTAGGCCAGAGTGAGACATCATCATAAAGTAGCGAAGAGAAAGCAGAATGTATGGCCATACTTCTCTGCAGCTAGAAACACTCCTGATGCACAGTCTGCCTTGAATTCTGGGTCACAGGAATCCAGGAAGTAGAGCAGCTCCTTCATCATGCCTCTAATGTTGTTGCCGTTCACCAGGGCAAAACTCAGCTCCATTGCACGTCTACACAGAAATCAAGCATTAAAATAAAAACAAGGGCACAAGTGAAATTAAAGTAATGTGGGCTCCGAGAGTGACCTCTTAATGGAGACGTCCAGGTCTTTTAAACAGTCCACAATGGTGCTCCGATGCCTCTGCACTGCATTGTGATCTGTTTGTACCGTCTTTAGAAGAGAGGTCAACGCCACATATCTGGAACAAGGAGATTTTAATTAAAGACAATGATCTGATGACAATCTTGAAAAAAAGTGAGAAAAGCAAAGTAATTACCTTATATTTTTGTCATTGTTAAGAAGGAAGCGGCCTAGTATGTTAATGGCCAAAACCTAAAAGGAGAAGGACATTCAAGTAAAGCAAAAACTGAAAACAATATTGATTTCTCTTAAAAAAAAAAAAAAAAAAAAAGACTCACCCTCAGTCCACTTTCAGACTTGATGTCCATTATGGTCAGTACGGTCTCATACAGGATTGCGTTACCTACATTTTTACTCGTCTCTGTGTTTGTTGCAACCTGCAAAACAAGCATTAATGAGCCACACTTAAGCAAAGTCATTTAAAAATTAATATAAAAGTTATTTAATGCTGTCTTTCTAACCTGTGCCAGAATGTCATTCATTGCTTCACTTGAGTCGTCGTCATTCTTTCCTAAAATTCTCAGTAGTCTCAAAATTCGCACCTGAATAAAAAGAATAACTCCATTAGGGCTGGGCGATATAGAAAAAAAGCTTATCGATAAAAAAAAAATGCAAATTGATCGATATCGATAATTATTGAAAAGATTTGAAACCATATTTTATGTGCAGCTCTGCCTGGA